TATATATATGTATATATGTATATGTATGTATATATGTATATACATATATACATATATATATATATATATGTATATATGTACATATATACATATATATATATATATATATATGTATATATATATATATATATGTATATATGTATATATATATATATATAAAGAAAAAACATTGTAAGAACTCGTATGATGCTTAAATGATCAAGAAATTACCTAATATATATTTCAATCTCTCTTTTAGAGCAAATCGGTTTAGGTTTGTGATAAGACCTTAAAGTCTTATCGTCGCTCTAGTACCTATTGATAAGACCCTACAGTCTTATCGTCGCTTTGATACCAAATGATAAGACCATAAAGTCTTATCGTAAAAAAGAAGATGAGAAAGGGGATGATCACTTCGAGGGGATCGGCCTCTTTGATCGCTTCGAGGGGATTGACCCTCCTTGATCGCTTCGAGGGGATCGGCCTCCTAGGGTTTGTCAAAAGATAGATTAATATTTTTCATAGATAACTGAAAAGAAGCAATTACATACCTATTTATAGAGTTCCACCCAGAGTCCATCAGGACTTGAACTCTAATAATAAATAAATATTAAATAAACCTCTACTTAACTCTTACTGAACCAAACTGACTCAATAAACAACTGGACTAAACAGACTCAATAAACATTATTCAAAAGCTCAGAAAAAGGGTTCTAACAGTTCCTCCCTCTTCAAATTAGCCTTGTCCTCAAGGCTGAGGAGCATCAATCTCGGGGAGCTTCTTTTTCAGCACTTTAGCCATAGACTATCTGCAACACAACACGACCCGTTGATCAAGTAAGTATGGTCTCCACTTTTTGACAGTGTAAACAACAGGTCGGTCTTTCAGTGTAGTAATCGTTGCATGAAACTTTTGGCCCTGTATAATCAATTTTATCCTTGAACCTTTGCTATCACAAGTGAAAATCCATCCATCAACGATCTTTACTTCGAATTTGTCATAGTCTTCAATGTGGTTGGCCAAGAGCAACGACGGCAGTGGTTGCTGGTTGGGAACTGCAGTGATTGGTGGCTGCGGAAAAAAATGCAAAGTTACTCTATTGTAGTCACCACGAGGAGGGGAGGTCGAGCGGCTGCGGCTGCGACGGTTGCGACCCAAGGTAAGGCAGCGACGGTGGTGCGGCTGGGGGCAACCCCGCCGTAGTGGCTGCGATGGTGTGGATGGGAGGGAACGATGCTTGTCTCTGTCGCACTGCAGAAGGAGGCACTGGTGACGCCGAGGAATCGCTTGCGGTTAAGGAGATGACGGTGGCTACGACGGTCATAGTTGCCTTGTTTTGATTGCCGCGAAGAGGGATGGTCAAGCGACTATAGCTGCGACCCAAGGGCAGGCAGCGATGGTGGCGCGGTTGGGGGCAGCAGAGGCAGTGATGATGGTGCGGTTGGGGGCAGCGTCACCAATAGTAGAAGTGATGAGGGGGTTGGTCCGCTGGCCGGGAAGCAGCAGTTGCGGTCCTTCTCGCTCGAGCAGGGTGGAGCAGCAAGGAGGGAAGACTACTGGCCGGGGAGTAGCGGTGACGGTGGTCACCGATCGGAAAGCAGCGGCGACGGTGGGGCTTGCCGAAAGCAGGGGAAGCAGGGGCCCCTTTCGACTAGATGGGCTTCAGATGGGAGAAGATGTGGTTGTAGCGGTTACGACGCAACAAGGAGGGGAGGTTGCTGGTTGAGGGCTGGGAGGCTGCGTGCAGGTTGAAGGCTAGGTGGCTGGCAGCAGTGGTGGTTGCTGGTCGGAGCCCAGCGACGGCGGTGGAGAAGGAGGCAGCGAGGGTCATGGCTCTGTTTCTGCAACCGTTGCAACGAGGGGCTGCGGCAACCGGCGGCTGCGGCTAGGACCCAAGGGGGGGGGGGGGGCCACGCCGAGGGTTACGACTAGGAGGTGGGTGGCGGTGATCTAGCGATCGGGAAGCAACGACGGCGGTGGAGAAAAAGGCAGCGAGCGTTGTCGCTGGCCGGGTAGTTACGATGCTGGAGATGGGAAACAAGGTGCTCTGTTTCTATCACACCACAACCGAAGCTGCTGGCGATGCTGGCAACGACAGTGTGGCGGTGATCATGCGACCGATAAGCAGCGGCAACGGTGGAGAAGGAGGAGTCGGCGGTGTCACGGTTGGGAACAAGGGCAACCGGTGAGTTGCCCTGTTTCTGGCACTACGGATGCAGAGCAAGGAGGATCAGCTGCTAGGAGGCGTGCGGCGATCGTCGCACGGTGGCTGGCAACGGTGGTGGCTCGGCAACAAAGGAGAGGGGTGGCATTGAAGTGGCCGAGAAACAGTGGTGGCGGTAGAGGCAACCGGCGCCTACGGCAGTAGAGGGACCGACGGTTGCTCTGTTTCTATCGCACCACAGAAATAGCGATGCCGACAGATCGCATGGCCAAAGATACAACCAAGGGAAGGCAGCGATGGTGGTGCGGCTAGGGCAGCGTCGTCGATGGTAGAAGCAGCGATGGGTGGTCCACTAGCTGGGAAACGACGGCCACAGCCCTTCTCGCTTGAGCAAGATGCGGGTAACGAGGAGGCGAGGTGAGAAGGTTGCTGGCCGGGGCACAGCGGCAACGGTGGGCGCTGGTTGGGGAGCAGCGGCGGCGGTGGTCGCCGACCAGGAAGCAGCGCTGGCGGTGGAGGAGAAGGAAAGTAGGGGTGGTCGGCGCCGGGAAGCAAATGTTCCTTTTTGGTTGAGAAGGAACAGCGCTCGTGGCTGCCGACTTCGCTCTCATAATTTTTTTTTTTTTTTTGAGATAGATGAACTACAGCGAAAACGCCGAGGATCACTGCTTTGATACCAATTGATAAGACCTTAAAGTCTTATCGTCGCTCTTATACCAATTAATAAGATCCTAAAGTCTTATTGTCACTCTGATACCAAATGATAAGACTCTAAAGTCTTATCGTAAAAAAAGAAGAAGAGAAAGGGATGATCACTTCGAGGGGATCGACCTCCTAAGGTTTGTCAAAAGACAGAATATTATTTTTCATAGATAACTGAAAAGAAGCAGTTACATCCTTATTTATAGAGTTCCACCCAAAGTCAATTAGGACTTGAACTCTAATAATAAATAAATATTAAATAAACCTCTACTTGATTTTAACTGAACTAAACTGACTCAATAAATAACTGGAGTAAACAGACTTAATAAACATTATTCAAAAGCTCAGAAAAAAGGGTCCTACCAGTTTGATATGCGAATGAAATTTGAGTATATGATATAAATCCAAATAAATAAAAGATATTGCATAAATATTTTTAACCGAGTAGTTAAAAATTTGACAGATACATGATTCAAACTCTGGACCTACTATAATAACAGTAAGTATTTAATTTGAGAATCATGTTATTAAGAATAATGCCCAATATATAGTTTTACAAACATTTACGCACTTGTCTTTTTTTAATGGTGCAATGCCTAAGGGGTGGTGTTATGTTTTCCACTCAGGTACTTGAATTCGGATGACTACGAAGGAGGGTTTGAGAGAGCCGAGATTGACAATGTACTCTCCGACATCGAGTTCAATTTCCACGCATGGGCCGAGAACTTCATCGTGCTTGTCATTGGAGCAGATGATCCCATCTCTGTTGACAAACTGGGAAGGAGCTTCAAGAGCATGAGGTCGGAGATCGCACTCGCCCTCGCGAAGACCATCTTTTTGGGTGATATGAGGCATACGCTAGACAAAGTCGAGGTTCCTTGCACCATTATTCAAGTCAGCAATGATTTCGTGGCACCCGTCTCTGTTGGGCGTTACATGCAGAGCAGGATAAAGGGGATGGCAACGCTGGAGATGATCGACTCGGATGGCCATTTCCCTCAGCTCACTGTTCCCCACAAGCTTCTCGAGATCCTGGACAGGGTCATGGTGTCAAACAAACCATGCATGGTTGAAAACGTTCCGAGCTTTCACGCATAGGAACAGATCTTGCTGGATCTTTCGCCCTAGTATTATGGGATTGCTCACTTGAGATGTATTAATTCTGTCTATTTTAATCGAGAATAATTAATATCTAAAATTTTCTCGAGAAAGGCACGATCGAATTTCTCAAAAGGTAGGTTGTGATGTTTTTATGGGAATTATTAGTTAATGAACTTATGCATATCAATTGAAACACATGGGTACAGAGCGGTGAATTCCGTTGATAAATCGAGCAATATTGGGCTGCAGCATTCCTTCTCTAACAGACGTGTGGGCTACTCGGAGTCACCACAGAGCCCATTTGCATGCCACTGAGAGCTCGGTTTTCGGACTTCGGATGTACGTATACGCAACACGTATTCGACCGTTAATTTCCTTGCTTCCTGCCGGAAGTCAACCCACCGAGTTGGAGCAGAAAACAGAGCATTCCGGGCTCAACGCGTGAAACACAAATCGGTCATGATATCGGAACCTACCACGTTTGCTTTGCTTCATGCATGAAGGGGATCAGAAGGAGATATGCCACCTTCATGTCAAATGGATCAGGACCGAGGGAGGATAGACGAAAGGATAGAGCACTTAAATGAGAGGACTAATGACGGTGGATTATCTACTACGATCCCGTTCGAGAGGCTATTTTCTTACCAGTCTCTCACTAAGTATAAATAATGAGAAGGTAGAATATAGTTAGTATTCATGTCAACATTAATCCAAAATAGTAGCATACGACATTCCAAAAATGATGGATTCATCCGTATCGTAAAATATTTCTTTAATAAGTTACTATAAAATATTATATTATGCATCTTAATCTTGGTCAACTACTCTATAGTACTAAAAGTTAAGATCATTCAAGAGAGGTGTGAGGCTGGTAAAGGTTATCTCCTAAACTTGTGAAAAGGAGAAAGTGCTATAAAGAGGTGGTTGGTTGGAAGATCATTAGTGGATGCCGATGACCTCGACGGAGGAGGAATCTGAAGTGGATGTAGGTCACACCGACCGAACCATTATAAATTCTGGTTTGCATTTCTATTATCTCTATTTACTTACATTGCAATAGCTTAATATCCTTTTTACTTGACTTTCACTACCCTTACGATCAAACACTCTTTCAAGTTATCTTTCGAGATCGTTTTTAATACATAAAGAATTTTAAACCATTGTTTTAATCTGTTACACTAATTCACACCCCCCCTCTTAGTGTCGACTCGATCCTGATAATTTGTATTAGAGCTCGGTTACTCTCGATTTATTTAAAACCCAAGAGAGAAGGCTTATGCTGGCAATCAAGAGAGTCATTTAATTACACGTCCTTCCTTGTTCAATGGGACAGATTACACATATTGGAAGACCAGAACGAGGATCTTTCTAATTTTAATAGATTTTAAGTTATGGAACCTTATGGAAAATGGCTTCAAAAGTCTTCTATTCCATTGAATGATTGGAATGAGTTGGAGAAGAAGACTTTCGCTTTAAATGCCAAGACTATGAATGTCTTGTTTTGTGCTTTCGATAAAAACGAGTTCAATCGAGTATGAAACGACTTTTAATATTTGATACACAATCAAAATCACTCACGAAGGCACTAATAGAGTAAAGGAGTCGAAGATAAATCTTTTATACTTATGAATTATTTCGGATGAAGCCAAGCGAAACTATTGTCGACATGTACACCCGTTTTACAAATGCCATTAATAGTTTAAAAGCTCTTGACAAATACTTTTTGAACTTGGAACTTGTTAGTAAAATCTTGAGATCCCTTCCAAAGAGTTGGGACCCTAAAGTAACGAGAGGCCAAGAATTTAAATAACTTTCCTTTCGAAGAACTTATCAAGTCACTAATAACCTATGAGATGACTTGCAACACTCATGAAGAGCTTGAGAACAACATTCCAAAGAACAAGAAGGATATAACACTAAGAACTCATGAAGACCACTTGAAAGAAAATTCAAGTAATGAGAACTATGATGATAACTTGGCACTCTTGACAAGAAAGTTCAAAAAATTCATAAAAAGAAATAAATTTAAAAATAATACTAAAAATAAAATTAAACTCAAGAAAGAATAAGTTATATGCTACGAATGTCAGAAGCCGGGACATTTCAAAAGCGAATGTCCCCAAGCAAAGAAGAAGCAACCAAAGAAGAAGAAGACACTTAAAGCAACTTGGGACAACTCAAGTGCATCCAAAGAAGAGGAGCCAACCAACACAGAGAAAGTTGCTCACTACACACTAATGGCTATCAAAGATGAGGTAAGCAGTTCATTAGATGCAAATTTATCCTTTGATGAATTATTAAGTGCTTTTCATGATTTATTTGATGAATGTAAATTAGTTAGTAAAAATTATAAACTGTTAAAAAAAGAGCATGCTTTGTTAGTGACTTTGATAGATTAAAAATTGAGCATAATGATAGTTTAGCTCCTTGCACAAAATGTGATAAATTAGAAATGCTTAAAAAGGAGAATTTGCAACTACATCAAACCTTAGAAAAATTTGAAATAGGTAACAAATCCTTAAACATGATTCTTGTAAGTAACACTCATAAGAATCCAACCATCTTTATTAAAGGCCTAACTTTACATGTTTCACCCCGAAACAACTTTTGTTGTAAATTTGGACATATTGCTTATCAATGTCTATTTAAAAGATGTAGTCCACACAAATTGATTTGGGTTCCTAAAGGAACTGTAATGATCTCCATGCAGAATGATAAGTTAAGTCGATCAATTTTTGAGGTACCCAAGGTCAAATGTGTACCTAAAAATCATCCTTTTTTGTAGAAACGTTCACCATCACAAGCTAGGAGCAAGAGATGGTACATTGATAGTGGATGCTCAAGGCACATGATTGGAGATCCATCTCAATTCTCTTAGCTCACTAACCTAGACGAAGGGTATGTTACCTTCGGAGACAACAACAATGGTAAATCCATTGGCAAAGGAACCATAGGTAACAAATCCAACTTGTTGATCAAAGATGTGTTGTTGGTTGATGGCTTAAAGCACAATCTCTTGAGCATTAATCAATTATGTGATAAATGATATGTCATTAAATTTGAATCCAATGCTTGCATTATTGAACAACCACACAAAAACTCCTCTATGATTGCCCTAAAATAAAATAATGTGTATACTATTGACATTGATGATCTTTGTGATGAAATATATTTTTCGATTTTGAATAATGATGCTTGGCTTTGGCATATAAGATTTGGTCATGCTAGCTTGAAACTAATCTCTTAAATCTCATCTAAAGAACTTGTAAGAGATGTTCCTAACATTAAGTTTATTAAAGACAATGTGTGTGATGCATGTCAACTAGGAAAACAAATAAAATGTAATTTCAAACCAAAGAATCAAATAAGCACATCCAGACCATTGCAATTGATCCATATGGATTTGTTTGGACAAATTAATACATCAAGCATAGGAGATAGCAAATACGACATTGTAATTATAGACGATTATAGTAGATACACATGGACATACTTCTTGGTACACAAAAGTGATTGCTTTAGATTTTTTTAAAGTTTTGTAAACTTATTCAAAATGAAAAAGGCTTTATGATTTCATAAATTCGGAGTGATCACGGTGGAAAATTTCAAAACCGTGATTTCTAAATTTTTTGTGAATCTAATGGATACAACTATAATTTCTCTACTTTGAGAAATCCTCAACAAAATAGAGTAGTAGAAAGAAAAAATAGAAACTTATAAGAAATGACAAGAACCATATTGAACAAATATAGCCTACCCAAATATTTTTGGGTCGAAGCCATTAATACGGCATGCTATGTCATAAATAGGGTTCTAGTAAGACCATTACTTTTCAAAACTCTTTATGAATTATGGAACAACAAAAAATCCAACGTTTCATATTTTAAAGTTTTCGGTTGTAAATGTTTTATCTTGAATGAAAAAGATGCCTTAGGAAAGTTTGATGCAAAATCCGATGAAGAGATTTTTCTTAGCTATTCTTCTATTTCTAAAGCCTTTTATATTTTTAACAAAAGAACTTTGGTTATAGAAGAATCTATTCATATTATCTTTAATGAAGTTTTTGAATTTAGGAAAAATAAGTTTGATGATGATCTTCATTTTGATGCTTTGAATTTAAATGAACCTTCTCCTTCAACTAGTAACTTGGATGCATATTCTTCCAAAATATCCTCACCCAAGGAATGGAAGTACGTAGATGCTCATCTTAAGGAGCTAATCATAGTAGACACATCAAAAGGGGTTCAAACTCATTCTTCTCATAAAACTTTTTGTGCCAACGCCATTTTTCTTTCTCAAATTGAACCTAAATGTATTGACGAGGCATTGAAAGATGATTCATGGGTTATCGCAATGTAAGAAGAGTTGAATCAGTTTGATAGAAATAAGGTATAGAAGTTTGTTCCGAGGCCAAATGACCATTTAATTATTGGTACTAAATGAGTCTTTAGAAACAAGCAAGATGAATTTGGTATCATTGTTAAAAACAAGGCTAGATTAATGGCCAATGGTTTCAAATAAGAAGATGGTATCGATTATGAAGAAACCTTCACTCCTATGGCCAAGGGTTTCAAACAAGAAGATGGTATCAATTAGAAGCTATAAGAATGCTCCTTGCCTATGCTAGTAGTAATAATTTTAAGTTATTTCAAATGGATGTCAAAAATACTTTTCTTAATGACTTTATTTATGAAGAAGTTTATGTTAAAAAACCTCCCAGATTTGAGAATAATAATCTTCCTAATCACGTGTTTAAATTTATTAAAGCTCTCTATGGATTAAAATAAGCCCCAAGGGCTTGGTTTGAAAGACTTAGCTCTATTCTTATCCAAAATAATTTCTCTAAAGGCAAGGTCGATACTACATTGTTTATTAAAAATTTTAAAATAATTTTCTTATTGTTCAAATTTACATTGATGATATTATTTTTGGTTCTACAAATGAATCTCTATGTGAATCGTTTGCCAAGAGTATGAGCCAAGAGTTTGAAATGAGCTTAATGGGTAAACTAACT